TTCCCCCCATTCCTCCTCGTCCTGTCCCTGCAGCTCCTACCCAAGTCCCTCTGCAGCTTCCCTGGAGCTCCTTCAGCTCCTGGCAGGTCTCCACACAACCTTCTCCTCCCCAGCCTGAACAGCCCCAGCTCTCTCAGCCGGAGCCTGGGCAGAGCCCAGTGACCACAGCCTCGTGTGGTCCCTGACCTTGGGCTCCTCGGTCCCTCCTGCCCGCGGGGACGTGTGGGGGTGTGTGTGCTGTTCCACTCCACAATCCTCCCGTGACTGGAGTGTGGAAGGCAGCAGGAACACTGTGTTCAGATAAGGCTGCACCTTTCCCATGGAGCAGATGTTCTCCCCACCATCTCTCTGGATTGCATCATTCCGGAGTGGAGAGGCTGCAGCCTGTTCCGCTGCTGGGTGGCAGCTATTGTGCTGCTCCTGATGAGGGTTTTGTTGCCTTTTGTCACTGTGTTGGGCTTGGCACTCTGAAATTGGCCTTTTTTTTTTTTTTTCTTGCTACAGGCAGCTGATCTGAAACAAGAAAAAATCAGTTCTTTTTCAGTTTCATTTCCCTGGGCTTGTCCTGCTCATTCCTCACTGCAGTTGGGCTTCAGTGCTGGAAGTGCTTTCCTGGGGAGTTGTCAAGGAAACATCTCTGCCTGGAGATGTCCTGGCTCAGCTCCCCAGGGAGGGCTGGTCCTGGGTGCTGCACCTTGGCTGTGTGGCACCTGCAGCTGAGGGTGAGCAGGGGATGTGGTAACTCCCTGCAGCACCTCCAGCTTCTGCCCTGGGATAAACAGATTCACTGCCGAGGGAGAAAGTTCCTGCACAAACCCAGAACAGCCTAGGCCTTGCTGCAGCACAGCCCAGTGTGGCAGTGCCTGGCAGTGCTGTGCTGCACAGGCTGGAGGGATGCTTTCCCAGGGTAGGAGGGCACAGGCAGAGTGCTGATCCCTGTGGGAGTGCTGGCAGGGGAGCAGCTGCTGGGTTTGGGGGTCGTAACCTATGGGTGGCTGGAGCAGGACTGGAACACTCCCAGGGATGGAGCAGCCACAGCTGCTCTGGGCAACCTGTGCCAGAGCCTCAGCACTCTAATCTTTTGGGGGATTTGCTCCTCTGGATGGTAGAGCTGAACCTTAAAGCCCTTTCCTGTGTTAGACAACATGCAGAGGCTTTCCAGGAGGAATAGGGTGTTAGTGTCCTGGTGGGATGTTCTGTGACTTGAGGCACGTGGAAAACCAGGAGTTGACTCTGAGGTGGGAATGGCTGAATGGCACAGCTGCAATGCTGCTGAGGCTCTGCAGGAGCTCGGGGTGGGCACAGGTGAGGAGAGAACTGCAGGCAGCAGGTCAAGCATGCAGTGCCCTGCAGGAGCTGCAGGCAGAGCAGGGACTTGGGGGTTCATCCCAGGGTTTCCCCCTGGAGCTGCTCCTCACATTCCCTTGCACTCCTTGGCTAAGCCACCCCAAATCGGATAAGAATCATTTCAATTAGCTTGTTAAGTGTCCAAACCTCCCCCAGCAGAGCTGCTGCTCACCCCAGCACTGTCTCGTGGCTGCAGAGCCCCTGGAGCTGCAGCTAAATCAGGCTGTGCCAGGCCATCTGTCAGCTCAGAGCCAGCCACGGGAAGGCTTTGACATCTTCTGCCTGGACAAGTTGATTTCGTAAAGCTGATTTTTCTCATGGTTAGTGGGTGGGGAGGAGGTTCTGCTGGTGATGCTGTTGTCCACCTCAAGCATCATTTCTCCTGGAGATCTGTGGCTCCTCACCCCCAAGTCCCTCCCTTAGCACTGATGCTGGTGTTGACTCCACGTTTGGGATGTGTACAGCAGCAGCCACTTCAAAGCTGGGAATGAAAGCAGCTTGTGGTAATTAGCACAAAACTGAAGATAATCTCCTGCTCTGGAATTGTGACAGAGTGCAGACACGAGGTCAGTGCAGTGGCAGAGCAGTGGTGACTGTGGCAGAGAATGCACAGGTCCTTGGTGTGTTCCCAGTGATTCCCAGTGCTCAACCAGGAGCAATGTTTGCCCCTTTGGGGTCCTCGTGGCTCTGGAACTGCTGCTTCTGCTCGTGAGCTCATTGCCCAAGCACTCACTTAGTGCCTTGTTTCCCGCTCTCTGGACCATTGCAGGGGCAATTTGTTGAGTGAGCATAACGTTGTGATGGCTAAGGCCAAAGAGCTAAATTTCTCAGCACAGTTTGAGCTCACAGAGGTGCTGAGCTCCTGCTGGTGTGGGCTCAGGGTGCTGGAGGTCATGCTGCTCGTGGTGTGTGGGGTGACAGCCCCTCGGAACGGGACCCAGCCTAGGTGGGCGAGGAGGGAGATGCTCTGTGCCCCTGAGGGGCTCCTGCTCCACTCACTTCCCTCCTGTTTGCAGGGGGTTGTGCAGGGAGCAGGATTCCAGAGCTTTACAGGCCAGTGATTCTGGTCCTGATGCACAACTCGGGCACAATTTAGAACAGAACAAGGAGAAGGGAATCATCCTGTGCCGCTCTGGCCCTGCACACTCAGATGGGAGATAACCTCGTGTCAGAGGGTTTGGGCCTGTGTTTCCAGCTCTGACTGTGCATCTAAAAGCCTAAGGCAAACCTCTAGTTTTCACTGTTGGCTGTACTGGAGCAGCAGTGGCTTCTCCCCAGGCAGCAGTAAAGATAAATGATGCATTCATTTGTGTGATATATTTGGACATTGGGTTCTAAAAATAGGTTCAATTATCAATATAGTTTGTCAAGTGCTTTCTGAGTGGCTGGGAAGTGTCTCCGGGCACGGCACCGACTCGGCAGGGCTCTGCACCCACTGCTTAATGGGGCAGCAGGGGTCTGTGAGAAGTCTGTTGGAGCCTCTAGGAAAGAGAATAGCTAGGAAAAAATGTCCATTTTTGTGCTTTTGAATCTGGAATTGTTTGGGTGACACCTGCACTGTCAGATTCCTGCACTGGTGAAGCTGAAAACTGAGCACAACCAGCTGCTTTGAAGGCTTGCCTGGTTTGTGTGCAAAGACAAAGCATTGGGCTGTTTTCTCAGTGGTTTGTGGGGGCTTTTTCCTGCTGTTCCTACTTTCCCTGATGCTCTTCCCTTCTCCCCACAGGTCTGGCCTCAAAGAAGACAGCGATCACCGAGGTGAGATGTGTAACTGGGCTTGCCAATCCCTCATGGAGAGCTCCAGAAAACAATTTTGCCTGACTTTTCTGAGCCAAACGGGATTCAAAACACACATGAGATTGCTGGAAATTTGCTCGCTGGTATTTGGGAGACAGAACATTAGTGGCAGGTGTCTGGAGTCTGTGTGGGCATCACCATGACCGGAGGGAGGGAGGGAACTGTGCCCCCCACGTGGCAGTTTGAGCTGCATGTCCCATGGTGTCTGTGCTGCCAGTGGCTCAGGGCACTTCTGCTGGCTGGAGAATCCACGTGTTGGGCATCTCCAGGGATCTGCTGGGTCTCACCCACGTCTGAAAGCGCGTTGGGGAGGCCTAGAACAGGGGAACATCTCAGGGACTGATCCTCTCTCACACACTCCAGGTCTCAGGTTCTGAGTCACTTCTTACCTTCTGGAGCAGAACTCCAGCTGGCAGTAGGGAATCTAGTAGGAGGATCTGTGCCTGAAAGCTGTTCCCTGAAGCCCACACTCAGTTTAGGGCATCATGTTCCAGTGATTCTTGTTTGATGGAATTTTCTGACATCCCTTACTCGTTCCTTACCTGAGGATGAGCATTTTTGTACGTGAACGGCAAAATCTTCCCATAAAACTCCCAAGAATGTGGCGCTTTGAGTCTTCTGGGCCTCCCTGGAAATATGCATAGTGGGAAGCTCAACTTCTATGGAAGTTGGCTGCTTTGTTCAGTGTACAAATAGCCCCAGTTTTTCTTCCCCTGGGAGCAACCACAGGCAGGGCAAGAGACCGTGGAAGTGACATTGGTCACTGCAGTTCCTAGGATGGAAATCCCTTCCCACTGGGAGGAGGAGGAGGATGAGCCATTGGCAAGGCAGGACAGCACAGCTTGAGTTCTGTGGTGTTGGGCAGAGGCTGGGAAGGAGAGGAGGATCAGCTGTGCTGCTGCTCACAGCTGCTGGGAGAGGGATAATAATAAAGGATAATAAAACAGGGCAGGAAATGGGATTTTTGAAGGAGAACTCAGTCTGCCCCTCGGTACGAGGAGTACAGGCAGTTGGACCAGAAATAGCTGCAAGCTCTTGATTAAAAGCTGAAGCACAAAGAACTTGTTAGCCTGAGCAAAATTATGCCTTGTGTGCTGGAGCTGTCGGTTCTGAGCTGGGTCCGTGCAGCCCTCGGGCAGGGACAGAGCAGTGGCACTTGGGGAGCGACCTTGGGTCTCTGGTGCTGCTCAGAGGAACAGCCAGAGCTGCTCTGCAGTGCAGCAGCCCCCACATGGTGCTGGTGGCTCACCAGCAGTTCTGGCTGTCTGCTGAGCCCTGGGACCCACCGGGATCTGCTGGCAGAGGGTTGGGAGTGGGTGAAACATTGCCCAGTGCTGGAGCATTACAGGCAGGGCTGAGAAGGAGCTGCATGGAACTCTGCAAAACGTGGTCAGGTTGGCTCGGTAAAGGGAACAGCCATGATCTGCTGCCAGGGGAGAGCACATGAGGAGAGGCTGAGGGCACTTGGGCTGTTCAGCTGGAGCAGAGGAGGCTGAGGGAGACTCTTTGGGGTCTGCAGCTCCTCCCGAGGGGAGGCCGAGGG